GATTCACAGATGGCTAGAACATGTGATAAGTATGAGATAAAGTGAGTAGCAATGAGCAGCAAAATCTAGGTAGTGGGTATATGCATGATCAGTGTAAAATTCTTTCAACTTTGCTCTGTGTTTGACAGTTTCAAATGAAATATTGCAGAAACGGCACAACTAATAAACAAAGAAAAATGACTGCTATGGGGCTGGGGGTGTAGCTTTGCGGTAGAGCACTTGTCCAGTGCGCTGGGGTCCCTGGGTTAGATCATCAACAACGTGGGGGGGGGGAAGAATTCCCCATTCTCTCATCTAGCAAATCTATCTCCAGTCGATCTACTGTTCTGTCTCCGTAGAACGGTTTCCTATCGACCGGAAGTTTTGGCTTAGATGTTACTTCTAGGAAGCCCTGGCAAGCTGGCAAAGCCTGGTGAAGTCCTTCCTCTGTGTGCTCGGTACTTTCTCAACCTTAGAACAGACTTCCCGTATTGTGAGGTCTCTGGTCCAAGCAGGAACTACAGCACGATGCTTGCTACAGACAGCCCTGAATAGACCTTTGTGAATGCTATCCAGTTCCTGTTCTGTCATACGGACGCCTAGTCAAGAGCCACATACATGTCAGAAGCTCAGTGACCCTGCACCTCCGGGCGAGATCAGTGACCAGTCCTGCCCACGCTTCTTTACTGTCCCAGGTGCCCACTTTACCCTCTTTACGTGCCCATCCCACCCTCCCCATCGACACCTTCCTTACTGCGGTCCCCCTTTTCGCCCAGTCCTAGTCCCTCGCCTCTCCGTCACCCAGCTACTCTCCTGAGGTCTCCTCGCTTGCCCAGCTGCCCTCCCCTACCCCCAGCCAGCTGCTGCCGGCTGCGAACCCTTTTCCCGCCCAGCCGTCCCCAACATAGCCCCCCACCGCGTTCTTCCCGCACCGATTTTGCCGGGCGGGACATCTCCGCCTGCAGTGGCGGCGGCGAGGAGCGTGGACAGCTTGGCGAGGAACAGGGCAGCGCGGGCCATGGCGGGCGGCGACCGGGGCAGCACGCTGGAGCTCGGGCGCTCGCGGGTTGGCGCTCGGCTCTCGGCCTGGCCGTTCCGCCTTCCAGCCTGGCAGGTCTTAGCCTCTCATTGGCCGAGCAGCCGTCCCTCTTCAGTACAAGATTCTGATTTGATACATCTTTCTCCCTGAGGGGTCTATCATTGGCAGCTTCGTGGTCCCGCCTCCTAGACGCAGCTTCCTTATTGGCTGACTCATTTGGCCCCGGCGCAGCGCTCAGGAACCTCAGCATCAGGACCAGGGCCCAGCTGCCCGGTCACCGGTGGAAAAGAAAGAACTGAAGTCCAGTTTCCGAAATCAACTAGCTCTGTTATGTGTCTTCTCTGACTCTGTTCCCACTTTCATCAAATGGACAGAATAAACCCCGATCTACCTTTCTAGGTAGTTATGATGATCACGTGAGATAAGGGATGTGAAACCCTTTTGGGGTTTGACGGTGTCTGCAAGTGCTGGAAACTGCTGACCAAGCTGGAGGCTGGGATGACTAGACCATACCCTATGCATATATTGAAACAAGTCCATATACTTTGAAGACTCCAGGTATTTTTTGTGCGTTTGCAGTTTCTATATACAGTTTGTATATCTGTGTTCTATTTCTTTAAAAACAAAAGAGTCTATCTATTCTCTTTGCAGACTCTAAGAAAAAGAACAGCTTAATGTGGCTAGTTTACACATTAAAAACAGATGACCTCTGGCAGAGGAATAAAGTTAGGGGTGAATCTCATGATAAATAAGGAAAATCTGTATTTATTCAGTTGGGTTATGGCCTAGGGAAGAAATTGACAGAATTCAGAGAACGGTTAAGAGCTTACACCTGGGGTTCTAAGTCAGCTTTTCACATCTAGGTTCAAACTAGATTACTGCTGATTAAGAGATAAATGAATAAACATGAATTTCTCACAATCTTTTCAGTGCTGGAGATGGAACCCAGGACCTCTCATATGCTAGGCAGGTGCTCTACTACTGAGCTACATCATCAGGCATTTTCAAATTTTAAGTTGCCCAGGCTGGCTTCACACTTGTCATCCTCTTACCTTGGCTTCCTGAGTAGCTGAGATTACAGATGAATGCTATCACACCAGGCTCTTATTATCTTAAAACTATTATTATTATTATTATTATTATTATAGTTGTAGTTGGACACAATACCTTTATTTTATTTATTTATTTTTATGTGGTGCTGAGGATCGAACCCGGTGCTTGCTAGGTGAGCACTCTACCCCTGAGCCACAGCTACAGACCTTAAAACATTTTTTTTTTTAAAAAAATCTGAGTCAGAATGTAAAACCTTTTAAGTTTATTTCTAAAGATCAAACCATCTCTTACCTGGATGAGGTGGCACATGCCTGTAATCCCAGCAACTCCAAGAGCATTGTGAGTTCAAAGTCAGTCTAGCAAAAGAGAGGTGCTAAGCAACTCAGTCAGATCTTGTCCTAAATAAAATACAAAATAGGGCTGGGGATGTGGCTCAGTGGTCGAGTGTTCCTAAGTTCAATCTCTGGTACCTCCTCATACACAAAGATATACCTTAAACTTATTTTTTTTAAAGAAAAGAAACAATCAATGAGGTAAATAGCGCCTACAGAATGGGAGCAAATTTTTACCATATGCACATCAGATAGAGTACTAATCTCTAGGGCATATAAAGAACTCAAAAAGCTAAACATGAAAAAAAAAACAAATAACCCAATCAATAAATGGGCCAAAGACCTGAACAAACACTCCTCAGAAGAGGATATACAATCAATTAACAAATATATGAAGAAATGTTCAATCTCTAGCAATTAGAGAAATGAAAATCAAAACTACTCTTAAGATTTCATCTCACTCCCGTCAGAATGGCAGCTATTAAGAATACAAACAACAATAAGTGTTGACAAGGATGTGGGGAGAAAGGCACACTTATACATTGCTTGTGGTACTGCAAATTATTGTAACCAATATGGAAAACAGTATGGAGATTGCTTGGAAAACTTGGAATGTAACCACTATTTGACCCATATATAAACTCCTTGGTTTATATTCAAAGGACTTAAAAACAGCATTCTACAGGAACAAAGCACATCAATGTTTATAGCAGCCCAATTCACAATAGCTAAATTGTGGAACCAACCTAGATGCCCTTCAGTAGATGAATGGATAAAGAAACTGTGGTATATACACAATGAAATATTACTCAGCAGTAAAAAAGAATAAAATCATGGCATTTGCAGGTAAATGGATGGAGTTGGAAAATATTATGCTACGTGAAGTAAGCTAATTCTTTTTTTTAAAGAGAGAGTGAGAGAGATAAATTTTTTTAATATTTATTTTTTAGTTATTGGCAGACACAACATCTTCGTTTGTATGTGGTGCTGAGGATCGAACCTGGGCCGCACGCATGCCAGGCGAGTGCGCTACCCTTGAGCCACATCCCCAGCCCCGAAGTAAGCTAGTTCTAAAAAACCAAATTCTGAATGCTTTCTCTGTTATGAAGATGCTGATCCATGATGGGGTTGGGGGAAGCATGGGAGGAATGGAGGAACTTTAGATAGGGTAAAGGGGAGGGAGGGGAAGGGAGGGGGTAGTAGCTTAGAAAAGATGGTGGAATGAGATGGACATCATTATCCCAAGTGCACATAGGAAGACACAAATGGTGTGTCTCTACTTTGTTTACTGGTGAAGGCGTTCCTGCACTGCTGTCTGACAGGTTCACAACGTGGGGGATGCTGTGGCAGTGCCGCACCATCTGGAAACCAGAACAATTAGGAATGTTTTCTTTTTAAAATATTTTTAGTCATTGATGGATCTTTATTTATTTATTTGTATATGGTGCTGAGAATTGAAGTCAAGACCTCACACATGCTAGGCAAGCGCTCTGCCACTGAGCCACATCCTCAGCCATTAGGAAGGTTAAGTGTTTTGTTTATGATACTCATGATATGGATAACAGATCATATGTCAATCAATAATAAAAGTACGTATTGCCTGAGATTGCAAGAAAATTCCCGGAATAAGACTAAGGATACAATTGAGACAGGCCAGGAGGTGTGTTTCAGTGTCTCTCAGGATACAAGCAATAGTATTATTCCTCAAGCCTAAACAACAAGAAATATTTATCCCATTGTTAACAATTTACACCAGCCCCCCCACCCCCATCTTAAAGCCACAACCTGTACAATAAATAGCCTAGCTACAGAAAGACAATTGCTGTGCCAACAGTACAAGGACCACTGTATGTAGCTTATGGTATCCCCTCAAGGACAAGAAGCTAATAAAAATACAGTCCCCCAACCAATAGACGATCCTTTGCCTTACACAGAAATTTATGATGAAAATAGAAATGGAAAACACATAGTTAATATAAATGACAAATAGGTTGAGGTGTAAAGCCTGCCCTTCAGTTTTCGGCGGACACAACAGCTTTGTTTGTACATGGTGCTGAGGATTGAACCTGGGCCACACGCATGCCAGGCGAGCGCGCTACCGCTTGAGCCACATCCCCAGCCAAAGCCTGCCCTTTAAAGATTACAAAGACATAAGAATTGGTGTGCTTTGATCAAGGATCAAGGAAGTTCTTTAAGAAAGCAGTTGAATAGGTCATATGAAAAAAGAAAATTACATTGGAAATTAAAAATAGAATAATGTAAAATTAACATAGATATATTTTAGAGGCACTTCAGAGTAGTAGGCTTTTAAATAATAGACTTTCACTGCTTTAAGTGTGTTTTACTGGGATTTTAGTTTAGAAGAACGCTTACCAATAATCATAAGTATGCTTTAAGATTAAAGGTTAATGAAATAATTATAGGTATGCTTTAAAGTTAGAAGTGAATAATAGATCAGGAGTCACGTAGTCTAGTTGCGTTGCCTAGCACCTAGTGATTAAGGTGAAAAAGTAAAAGCTTAATTATGATTGACTAAGGTTACAGAAAAATATTTTCAACAATGTACTCAATAACTTAGGTAATCAATGTATGTCAGAAAAGATTATAACTCTTGAAAATTATGTAAATCAAAAAAGTTCAGGCTTTGAAGCTATCCACTAACTACCTGAAAAAACACCTGTAAAAAAGGTATAAAAATAAAGTTCCCTCCAGGGGCAGCAGAGATTTCTTCTGGAGGCTGCTCATAATTTGCAACCTGTTGTCCTGACTCCTCTTCTTTCGCTGATGCCACTCCTCCTTTAGGACCTCTGGAACCTGACTCTGTCTGCAGGGGCTGGACCTCAGCAGTGTATAACCAGAGACATGAGAAATTGTGTTCTGTCTGTGTATTTTAAATTGAAATGCATTCTGCTGTCATATGAAACAAATTAGAATTTAAAAACAAGAAAAACAAGCATTCATTGATTGTTTTGTGCCAAGTTGCCTAATGTGCTGACTTCTTTTTTTGCAGGGGGCGGGTGGTCAAATGAGGGGACGCTTTACCACCGAGCTACATATATATCTAGCTCATTTTATTTATTTATTTAGAGACAGGGTCTTGGTAAGTTGCTGAGGCTGAACTTAAACATGCAATCTTCTTGCCACAGCCTCTCAAGTTGCTGGGATTACGGGTGTGCACCACCTTTCTGGGCTTCTTGTTTTTTTTTTCTGGGAGAGTGAATCATACTAACTTTAAAATTCATATCGGGTCTACCTTGTTTTTAATTTTAGGGCCTTTTAAACTCTTAAATCTAGAGCTGTTTACTGTTAGGAAGTTTTTCCAAGCCTAGCATCCCACTGACAATGTGTGAGGTCATCAAATTCAAAAGAATGTCAAGAGAGTTGATGAGAGGAAAAACAAGGATGCACAATTCTGGTGACAGAGGCGAAAAGCAAAAACAAGCAAAAAACCTAGCTCAGACTAGGAATGAGGTTGGATGATATGTGTTGCTGTGTAACAAGTCACTCCAAACTTGGTGGTTTGAAGTAATATTTATTTTGCCCACAAATCTGCACTTTGGGCAGTACACAGCGAGATCAGCTTATCTGTTCTACTTGGTGTCTTTGTGGCTGCTCTATTGGAGGTAGAAGGGAACACTTTCATGATGGCTAGGAAGATGGTGCTGGCTCAGCTGAAAGCTCAGCCCCATTCCACAGGCTACTTCAGCTTAGTTTTGGCATGATGGTTAGGCTCTAAGGGTATCTCAAGGAAGTGGAGCCACCAGTTTTTTAAGATTTGAGTTTAGAAACTGGCAGTGTCACTTCCACTGGATCCTAGTAGTCACTAACAAAACTCCAAGAAGATTCATAGACCCTACCCCTCAGTGTATCAGGGAATTGGGGAGGCACTGTTTTAAAACCAGCAAGTTAACTTGAGAGTGTGAGCAAATAGCCTGAATGGATAGGAATCAACTAGCACTGGGATAGGGGAAATGATGGATTACAGAGCCAGGATATACAGATAGGACTAGAAGAACGATGAAAATGAAAGCCTGAATCCCAGGAAAGGTTAGCTGCAAAGAGGGCCATTTACCCAGAAACTGCGTGTATAGGAGCCAATTGAGAAACAGAAGTAAAGTCAAGGCCAGGCAGTCAGATGTTGGGAAGAACACAGGGAAAGTAAAGATCAGATCAAGGCCAAATGCTTGAAATCTGGTTAAGAGGATAGTTAGGAGTCCAGTGTGTAAGAGAAGTAGTCAAAGCTGGTAAAACAACTAGGACTAAGTAGCAAACACCAGAAAATATGGCAATGCCAGAGTGCCAGACAGAAACAGGAATCCAGAAATCAGAAAAAGGCAAATCAAAGAGGTAGAAAAATAGGTAGACTTTAACACTGAGGTGGAATATGGAAAGCCTAAACTCCCATCTACTGGGCTGTGCTGCTGAGAGATCCGAGTACCTCTCCTGCTCATCTACATGGTGGGGCAGTAGTCAATGAATTGACCGAAAGATACCGTATACAGGATGAATTAGGCAATCAGGGGCTGGGAGCATAGCTCAGTGGCAGACGCTTTGCCTAGCATACGAGGCTCTGGGTTTAATCCCCAAAATGACAAAATAGAAACAACAATCAGAAAACACCTCAACTACAATTGTTTCAATTCAGGTTTTATTAAAGGTATTAAAGTTATTTCTGAATATTACATTTCAGTCTTATTTTCCCCTATTTATTTTTTGTTTTAAGAACCTTTCTTCATTTACCAAATACGGTGTCATGAGTAAGAGCACCCAAAAACATAGTCAATGTCGAAGAGACTGATTGTTTTATGGCAGTAAGGAAAGTCAGTAAAAAAATTGGAGAATCCAGTTACAGAAACACCAAAATTCCCCCTTCCAGCAAGCCAGAGCTTCTTTACGTATCATCTGTAAGCTAATGTTTTTGCATTTTACCATTAAGATGAAAATAAAAGAGCAAGATCACATTTTTTTTTGCTTCTTCAGTCTAAAAATATGAGTTTCTTGTAGTATGGTTAATACCCCCCAACCCCCTGCAAAAAACAAAAACAAAAAACAACAAAACAAACAAACAAACAAACAAAACTGGAAGGAAAATAAGTCACTGTGAATGATTTGCTTATCATTTTTTAAAAAATCAGTTGACTAGCCTTTCCCTTTCCTTAGACTTTAGGCAGCTATAGAAACGTAGGAAAAAAAAGATTAAAAAAAGATAAATAAATATAAGGGCCAACTGTAGGAGGCAATTTGCATACTTCACTTGATCCTCACAGTATCATGAGAGCATTTTAAAAACAAGCTTATAAGAGTGAAATAACTGGGGCTCAGTGTCACATAGGTGATGGAGCTGGGTGGAATTTATGTTCAAGTCTATGCCTAGCAAGCCTTGTTCTATTATGCTGCTCTGGCTTCCTAAAGCCCTTTGACTTGAGATTTTTTCCACTATTACCATTTCATCATCTAATTCTAAATTTATGCTTCAAGTCTTGCCAAACTACTGAATAATAAAAGAACCTAAAATTATTCTCAATCTGCTTGCAAAACCAGGAAGTGTAAAGGGTATCAGAACTCTTCAAGTAATGAGAATCTTCCATACCTAAAATTATAAACAATTCACTGGTAATGATAGCTAGTAATACCAGAACACATATGGGTAATTTGACTCAATTTCTTATTGTTACTATCTGTCAATCTCACAGGAATAAAGGCAGAAAAGGACAAATTACTACAGTAAAATTTGACTGCTCATTAAATATAGTGTGCACTTGGTTGAGCACCAAAAGCACCTTTTAATGGCATTTTAAAAGTGCATGTTTACTAGCCTCTCCCCACCTTGTGCACACTATAGAGCTACACCTCGCTCAGTCCCCTAGTTTTTTAAAAGTGTTTAAATCTGATGGCCCACTGGGGGGTGGGGGGGAATCCCTTACCGATGCACATTTGTGTAGTGTTGTAGAATTAACTACATTGTCTAAGAGGATAACTTACTATCCTCAAAAGAGGAATGTAACTCTATGTAAATATCTTTAAGTGTTTGAAGTTAACATCTATACTTACTCATTTATTACTCATTTATAACATACTTCTTTTGCATATTTTGAGAAATTGCAGACAGAGTAGCTCTGAAAAGTTGTCCTTTTATAAAATAAACATATATATTATTAAAGGTGTCTATATCAGAGAGAGGGCTGCTAGGCAACTTTTGTTACCTGCCCTCCCCCCTTTTGGGTGGTGATGGAAATCAAACCCATATTACCTTCCTATCTGCATAATAAAGCCACCTTTATTTACCAGTTTCCTCCATGTCCCCCACTCTTACTCCCCTGCCAAGATCTATAGCTTAGAATGCTGTAAGCTTCAATTATCTTTGACTCCTTTTGAGTCTTATTTTGTGGGACTCCCATGCAAAAATATACAATAAAGTCTAATTTTTCTCCTGATACTGTCATGAGTAAACTTAATTTGCAGCTTAAAGAACCTAAAAGGGTGGGGAAAAACCAGTTTTTGCTTTTACTCAGGATCAGAGTTCTGGTGAAGTGGATTTTATGGGTAACCAACTCAAATCTATATAATCTGGACACCTCACAAGTATAGGTCTGCTGCGAATGTAACTCTATGTAAATATCTTTAAGTGTTTGAAGTTAACATCTATACTTACTCATTTATTCAACCGCTTGTTGAAGTTTAGTCACTAGTTTTTTCCCCTTTTGGTTCAATCCTAAAAAGAGTAGGCTCTTTTACTTCAGAAGCTGAAAGGTAAGATTAGACTGAAGCCTCTCCTAACATTAAAGTATCTAACTGACCTCCTTTCTAAAGTCTCACTGATGTTATTACTCATTAAGTCATTTATTAGATATATCTTTTACATAATACCAGTTGTAAGACTAAAAAAAAAATCCCCACATAGGACCATTAACTTTAGGAGGTTAATACATAAGAGGAAAGCTAGAGGAGCTGGAGTTGTGGCTCAGAGGTAGAGCACTTGCCTAGCATACGTGAGGCACTGGGTTTGATCCTCAGCACCACATAAAAATAAAAGATGTGTCCACCTATAACTAAAAACTATTAAAAACAAAGAGGGAAGCTAGATGTTTATACAAATTTGACTTAAGATGGAAACAAAAACTATGGATAAAGGCTTGACAGGCTTGGGAATGTATCATAGTGGCAGAGCATTTGTCTAGCATGCATGAGACCTTGGGTTCAACCCCCAACACTGCAAAAACAAACAAAAAAAAGTTTGTCAATGTAAGAGAGGCAGTGGTTTGTAGAACCAACTAAAGAAAAAAAAAATTTCAATATAACCAAGTGAAATGAGAAATTGTGGGAATGTAACATTTTTGTCCTGATCACTTTTCCACATAATCTAATATAGGATCCTAAGGCAAATTTAACCAATAAGGCATAGGAGTTGGGACAGGTGGAATGAGCAGTTGTGGGTAATTACCAATACAGACTCATTTGGGGTCATTAGCTGTTGGTGCTGCCTCATTTTACCAGAAATCACTGTATACCTAGTGAGGCTAAAAAATAATTCCCTTGCTTTAAAGGGATGTAGGTACCTTGAATTTCCTGATGTTCCCTACCTTCCAAGTGGAATTGGAAAGGGGTAAGTATCACAAAACAAAGTAAGTAATGAAGCTTAACTGGGACTACAAGGACAAAAGATGGATAAACAGTAAAAAATAAAACAAAAGGGGGAAATCCTGAAAAATCTCTCTCTATAAAAACCAATCCAAACAATCCAATCTAAACATATACAAGTGTAAAACTTTATCATCTAAATACCCAAATATTGAACTAATCCCTACTGTCTCCTTTTCCCACAGAATACAAAACACTATACAAGATATTGTACTAATTTCAACCATTAGTTGAAAATACAGTTAAGAAGATGATTTTGGATCTGAAGTCATCAGAGTACCAGATTAAAAATAATTTTCGTAAACATATTTTGATAAAGGCCACAGGAACACTTGTCACATTGTTCAAATGCTCAATGGCAAGACTTCTGATGAGACCAAACAGGTCACATAAAATCAATAGAGTATCATAGAAATAAAGCCAATATGACTAAATCCAAAACAGATCACATGAAGTACCTCATGTACAATACAAACCTAGTTTAATAAATAAAGGAAACACAGGTGACTGCACTCTGGGAGAACATTCAGTTCTTCAGGGCCTGCTCATAATCTTCTCTGAGATTCCACTGCCACTTCCACTTGAGCAAGTCTAATGGTACGGCCATGAAGTTTGTAGCCATCTTGCCTTACTAACGCCACTGTGCCAGGTTGTACTCCCACACCAGCTGGCACATGACAGATGAGTTCATGCTCATGAGGGTCGTATTTATCACCGATAGGAGCCATCTTCTCCAGGCCATGCTTGGCAAATACACTTTTCAGCTTTGCTTCTAAAAGTGACAACCCTCGGAAAACTTTCTCCAGAGTGAGCTTCTGGTCCCCAGGTTCTGTTTCTTCAGAAATGCACTCGGTAGTCTTCTCCAAAATGTCTGCTACCTCCACCAAGTCCTTACAGAAACTCTGGATTCCTACAGAGAAACCAGACACTTAAGTTTGTGAAGTAATCACTCTGCACTTAGGAGGAGACTATGGGGCAGATAGGGGGCTAATATATTATATGCAAAGAGTGGGAGGGTTGCCTCACAGAACTCCAGGATCATCCTCCTTTTCACCCTAACCCAACAGACAAAGTCTTTTTTTAAAAGGTATAGAAGACCAGAAACCCTACTGGGAAATGAGGAAGAGAGTTAGAACCCAAGAATTAGCTAAGTTTATATATAACAGGCTCAAAAACCTGTTCTTGTTAAAACAACTATTATTTTTGCTTCTTGTGTTTTTGTTGCTATTCAGTTTTAGTATAGAGTTATATATACTTTGAAAATTCCTATCTCAGATGTACAAAGGCCACACTCTCAATAGGGACAAGATATTAACTGTTGGGGGGTGACAATAAAAATATCAACACTCTGCTAAGGATGTCAAGAGTGGTTTATTCTTGAGGACTGGCTAATAATAAACAGGAAAGTTAAGTCACATCAATAGATATACGAATCTCCAACTGCCTACTGTAAAGTTGTTAGAGATGGGTCACAAAATTTAGTCACATGAATTGTTACAGGTTAAAAGAAAACACAGCTGTTGAGAAATCCCATTCTTCCTAAATCTGCAAAATGCTCTTTCTTATAGAGATTAGGATAAGATTAGGATAGGAAATGGCATCATTAGAGATGCCTATGACACAATGCTTAGTTGGGACTGATGAGAGGCAAGGACTTTGTTAATTCAGGACAAGTTTATGCACTGGTAGCTGCCTTCACTTTACTCAGAAGTGAGAAGGAAGATCAGCAAGCAATAAAAGGCATGAAAGAGCAAAGAGACGGGAAAACTTACTGCCTAGATAAAAGTCTAAAGGACGCATAGGAAGTCTACCTAGGAAGTCTACCTTTAACTTAAAGGTGAAGAGCTTCCTCCCCACCACCTTTTGTTTTTGGCACTAGAGATTGAACCCTGAGGTGCTTTCTCACTAAACCATACTCCAGCACTCTTAATACAATTTTGAACATGGTAAGCTTCTGGGCTGACCTGTACATTCCCAAGGCATAGTCCTTGCTTCTAGTCAGTAAAGCTATATGAACTTGGGTAAAGAGAAGCCTGTGTTTTTGTCTGTTTAGTAAAGGTTCATTCTCTAATTTCATTCTAATTGTTGTATTACTTTGATAGTTAGTGGCTGCACAATGTCTTAAAAAAAAAATGAATCTTTGTGACTAAGAAGGTGGATTATTGAGGAAAAAAACCACCTTTGGAAGGTCAGATAGTCTTCATGCTGTATCCTTTTAAAATCATTCTACTTCTACTTCCATGATTACCCAGTTATCTTCAATTTTCTAAATATTTCTGGCCACTAGGAGCAAATGATCCAAGAGAATAACTTATGCAGCATCTTTTGCTAGAAACATTTTACTCTAAAGCCAATCAGGTGGATTAATTTATCAAATTCTTTTGAATTTAGTTAACATGGGTTTGTTTTCAGAAGTTGTACTACTACTTGAGTAAACTGATATGCTAGTTCTAACTCAAAGTCTGACTTTTTTTAATATACCTTTATTTTATTTATTTTTATTTGATGCTGAGGATTGAACCCAGTGCCTCACACGTGCTATGCGAGCTCTCTATCACCGAGCCACAAGCCCAGCCCAAAGTATGACTTTTGATAAGCCCACTCACCTGGCTTCTTTCAAGTAAGTTGTATATGGAGTCTAGAGTAGCCACCTGAGGTTATCTGATTCTGTAATCTGAGCCTTTGTTTTTGAGCTATTTTATAACTCACCATGATGTACAATACTAATAGTAATGCAAAAGATACTTGTCCACAATAGGGAAAATTGTCTGGTAGTTCATTGTTACACTATGGATATCAATCAATTTTGCTTCCAACAGAGTCAGTAACTTCACACATTAAACATTACTGAGTATCTACCACATGCCAGGCACCACGTTGCCAAAATATCAGATATGTAAGTACTGTGATAAACAGGGAACTAAAAGGAGATGACTATCCTCAGTCAGTGACATTTTTGAGCTTCTCAAGTTTCATATTCCTAACTGTCTATGAGCCTACACTTCAGATTCTCCTCTGGATACCTTAAAGGTCCACTTGTTCATTATGCAGAACTGTTTGCACAGGCACTAGCATGTTACAAATGTAGTGATTATATGTACTTAGAAAATAAAACAAAGGTTTGGTTAAAACAAAGGCTAACATTATCTTAGCAAAAGGTTAAGTTGACACCATTCCTGATAGCAGCACAGAAAGCCTATTGATATGGTGGAAGGAGTAAGAACTCAGATGTACTTTTACTGTGCTCAGTTTGCACATGCTAAGTAAGTGCCCTTCAGATACATTTTATCGTGAATAAATTTCTCACCAAATATCTTGGCGTCTTCCACACATCTCTGGGTTCTTTTCCTTATGTTTTCACAATCAGCTACAGCTCTCTGGTATCTCAGCTGAACATCAACAGCAACATTGAAAAGATCAGAAAAAAAATGCTTATGAGTGAATAAGAATGTTTTTGCTTACTTTATAAAATCTCACCCTTGTGATAAATCTTAGATCAGCTACTCCAAATCCCTAGCCAAAGGAGGGACCTACTATAGTAAACCTGATGGATAGTCATTCAGTCTGCTGGATTGAATATAAGTTTCCTTCCTTCTTTTTTCTTTTTCTTTGTGGTACTGGAGGTTGGGCCCAGGACCTCAGATGTGCTAGGCAAGTGCTCTATCACTGAGCTATATCCCAGCACCTCAATATCAGAAGTAGTTTTCAAACTACTTATCTAAAGAAAAAACTTTCTCTCTCATATCCAGCTAATACTGTTAACCTTCAGTTTTCTTTCTCTGACTTTACTCTAGGACAACTGAGAGTTAAGTTTTAAAAATGAGTTATCTATTTAAAGGCTGATTGTAGTCTCTTAGTCTTTTCCATTCTTACAAATTTTGGTTCCTTCAATTGTTCTCATAAGATAAGCTTTACAGTCTCCTCTCATTTTCAGTGGTCTTGCTTTGAAACCACTCTGGTTAATATACTTATCTTCCTCCAAGTGTGTCAACCCAGTACTAGGTCCAGTATGCCTAATTTGGTCTCAGCAGCCAAATACAAGAGCCAGTAACCTCACACATTAAATATTATTGAGTGTCTACCACATGCTAGGCACCACACTGCCAAAATATCAGATATGTAAGTACTGTGATAAACAGAGAACTAAAAGGAGATGATTATCCTCAGTCGGTGGCATTTTTGAGCTTCTCAATTTTTTTGCTGGTAACACCTAGCAATGAAGGATTGAGGGGGTAGACGAAGAGTCAATCAGAGAAAATTGCATTTTAAAAACGACAAAGAAAATTTTACTTGGAACTTCAACCAAAAGACCAAATAACATAAAATCTACTTACTGTTAAATCCTGAACTTCCTTTTCCAGTTTAACAGCTTTTAGCTTTAAGGCTCGTTCAGCAAGAGAGGGCCCAAGCTCATCAGGAGGGTCCTCAGAACTGCAGTCTTCACCTGCAGTTCTCTGGGTGGCAGTGCTGAATGGGTGAAGCCATATCCTAGAATAGGAGGGAGGAGGCAACAATGAATGAATGCTATCATAGAAAAGGCAAATTACAAAGTTTAGAGACCCCAAACTTCCCATACTGAATCTCTAGCGAAAGGGTTTTCCGTCACAAATGAACACTTTAGAGCATCAGGTACTGTTTTATCTGTATCATCTTTTCATCTCACAACATGTAAGGTAAGTACTATTATTTTTTAAAGCTTCTAAAAAAATAATAGTTTTATCAATATTCAGTTCTTATGCCACACAATTCACCATTAAAAGGTTTTTAGTATATTTACAGTTGGATAACTATCACAGTTTTAGAACATTTTTCTCACCATAAAAAAGAAAGCTTGTATCTGTAAACTATTCACCATTTCCACCTAAATTATCTGTCTGGGCAAGTCTAACATACTTTTTATTTCCTATGTATTTGCCTTTTATGGATGTTTAACTTAGGTGGTTATACAATATGTGGTCACTTAAGAGCACTTTCTTTCCTTTAGTGTGCTTAAGGTTCATCCATAAAATTGCACTTACCAGTAAAACTTTGTTTTGTACTGGGGATTAAATCCAGGTGTGATTAGCCACTGAGCCACATTCACAGCCCTTTTTATTTTATGAGACAGAGTCTTGCTAAGTTGCGGAGGCTGGATTTGAACTTGTGATCTTCCTGCTTCAGCCTCTGAGTCACTGGGATTATAGGCTTGCTCCACTGTGCCCAACTGTAATTTTTATTTTGAGACAGGGACTCACTAAGTTGCTGAGGCTGGTCTAGAACTTGAAATCTTCCTCAGACTCCCAAAGTCACTGGGATTATAGCATGTGCCTCGGTGCCTAGCCAATAAACCTTTTTTTCCTGCTAAGTAATATTCTGTTGTGTGGATATACCAACTTTTTTTTTCCATCTGTCAGTTCATGGGACATTTTGATTCTTTCCACTTTTTTGCTGTAATGAATCATATTTATTTAACTGATGAAAAAACTGAGGCCAAGAGGCTTAATGCTTAATGATTTGTTCAAGATCACACACAGCTGGGCAAAGTGGCATATGACTGGAGTCTTAGTTACTAAGGAGGCTGAGGTGGGAGGATCATGAGGTCAGCCTGGGCAACAAAGCGAGACCCTGTTTCAAAAACCAGCAAAAAATAAAACAACAAAAATCCCCCAACACAACTAGTACACCGTGGAGCCAGGATGCTGAGCTCCTGGAAGTAGAAATAGCCAGAAGTGGGTACACAAAGTCATCAATAAAGAAACTAATGGGCTGGGGATGTGGCTCAAGTGGTAGCGCGCTCGCCTGGCATGCGTGCGTCCCGGGTTCAATCCTCAGCACCACATACAAACAAAGATGTTGTAGTCCGCTGAGAACTAAAAAATAAATATTAAAAAACAAAACAAAAAAAAAACAAAAAAAAAAAACCCCTAAGAATACTGAGAATCAGAGAGGCAACATCAGAAGTGAAAATTCAAAACTACAGACTCACAGTTTTGCTTCAACCCTTCATTTACAGAAAAGAAAAATTAAGTCTAGTAAAGGGGGCTGAATTAGACTTTGAATTCTAAGCCTTCTTGACCACAAGTTCTAAGGCTTTTAGGAAAAAGAACTTGTGCTAAGAAGGAAGTTCTGAATTGGGAACTCAACTACATGTAAAATCAAGTCAAAGAAGTGCTTATAAACACCTGTTATGTGTTCGGCCTCTAGGCTAAATAGGTGACTAAAACAGATCCTTGTATTTGATACTTATGTATATCTAGAATTTTGTACAGCTAATAAATTGGTAAAGGTCTGGATACAATCTGATGTAAATTCCTTACGTAAGGAAGTACTTAAGTTGTCTTTCAGGAAGTACCTCCAAAATTCATTCAAGGATGACTTAAAACTGCTTGTTCAAGAATGGAATTGTGCAGAAGCCAGCTTGCCTGAGGTTTAAGTTAAAAAAAAATCCTCCACACAGAACAGGCCCTTGGAAAAAAAACACAACGCTGTGACCCTTGAAGAGGCATAACATCTATACCTGTGCAAAAGAACCCTAAAACTTCTCCTCACCTATCCAATCAATAAGCAGCATCTCCATTCTTGTCAGTTGTCCTCACAATACAGGCTTTTACTTTTGAAAAAAGAAACAAAAAACCAATGTGTCACAATATTGGCTTCTGTGTATGCAGGGCCTTTGCTCAGTATCACTAAAGGTTTGACATTTAGTTAGTTTACAAAGGAAGAAATTTAGACCAGGGGTTAGTTTGTAACAGATCTTGAACTATGGCAGTTCTGATCTCTCTATAGAGAAGTTTCCATTACACATGCTGGGTACTGATAATTTGATTTCAAGTAAAATCAATCTGTGGTACAAGAGCTCTTTAAAACAAAATAGTTTATATGAACAGGCAAATATTAGAGAATGGTCACTGAGGTGACATCTGAGTAAAGGCTTAAGGAGTTAAAGGAGTTTGCTTTAAGGACAGGGAAGAGCATTCTGGGCAGACTGAGGCACTAGTTTAAAGGTATGAGCAAGAGAACTTTTATCTCCCAGACTTTGCCTGGTCTTGAACTCAATTATTATGATCTGGTGTCCAGTTATACATGGTTCCTAATTTTTGGTTCAAAAAATATGGTCACCATAGATCTGGGGCAATTATACATTGTGAAATCACTCTTTCCCTCTAAAAAAATTATTTAGCCTATTGAAAACAGATCAAAATATCCTCAGGGCCAGTCAACAGAACAACTGGCTAGAGGTCAGATTACCAAAGAGTTGTGGCTGATTCCAATTCCTACTCCTTCAGAACTGGAGGAAAGGGGAATCTTATCAGAAGGCATCATTTTTTTTTTTCGTTCTGATCATTCTTCTACCTCACCAAACTGCCAAAAAAAGTTGAAAAGAAAACACAAAGTAAAACCCAGAAACCCTAAATTTAACTCACCTATGCTATGGAAAGGTATTTTGTCAGGTGTGTTAAAATTAAAAAGAAATGAAAAATAGTTATGCAAATTTCTCTGTAGCTAAATCTACAATTCAGAGGTCTAATTCTATCCCATACTCAGTCATTTTTATTCTTTCCCAGGATACAAACTGAGAAAAATGAACACCTGTTCAGTAATAAAACACCTGTTCTATCAAGTCCGGGTTCTATCACTACCCACGAATTTAAGTTTGGTAAAGTTTACCCAATTTTTCTAAACCTCAATTTCCTCAATTATTAAACGGGGAATAAAAAATGAGGTAGTCGGCACGGTAAGTGATCAAATGAAACCTGATGACGCCTAGAAGCAGTAGCTGGAATTTCACAGTATCTGGAAGGCAGAAGGAAGGGCTGTTTGCAGAAACCAGGTCCAACGCCCTCCTTTTACCAATGGGTAAAATGATGCCCAAGAAAAGGTAAAGAACCAGGACCTACAGTCACATGGAGTCAGAAGAACCAACTATTCTCAGACACCACTAAAGAGAAGGGGCCAAGAGAGAGGAAAATCTCCAATTCAGTCGATGCTTCAGGCTCAAGAGACTTCTCATCTCCCAGGACATGACTCCATATCTGCCCACTTCCTTGAGGCTCGCCTGTGAACCTCAGTTTCTCCCTCTGTAAAATGGGTCGTGAACACCTGGTCAAGGAGGCCGTGAGGAGTGCCTGGTCCTCTCGACTTAGCCGAGTAACTCCTCGCCCTCCAGCCCATACTTGCCCTTGCCAGCGCTCTCGTTCGGCATACCCTTCGTGTTTCAGACTCCTCGCCCGCAATGCTTACCTGCTACGCGAGGCCAGGAGGCGCTGCACCCGCCGCTGGACCGCCCACAGAGGCCAAGCAGCCATGATCCAGACCGGAGAGGATCGGTGCGGCGCACGCGCACTCGCTCCAAGTGAAGCGCGCGCTCGAAAACCACGCCTCCGGGTAGCCTTAGAGAGCAATTCCCGCTTTGGACGTCCGGACAGGAACGCTAAACTTCCGGTTATCTAATGAGCCACGCCGATCTTGGTACCGAACGCAACACTTCCGGTTGCTGGCTCTTTGGTTTGGTAGGGTGGGTACCTAGGTACGGAGGATTGGTACTAGGCACGGAACGACGAACAAAAGCGGCTGAATCTTTATAGAGCTTTCGTGAAATTATAAATTATAGATACAGGCGCAGTATAAAATCGAAATATGTCCAGGGTTTAAAGATGAGGGACGGAGTGCTGCAGAGGCCTAGAATACAAATATGTCCGAGTATGGAAATTTTTCCCAAAGGAAATGATATAGAGCTGAGAGTAAAAGAATTGGTAGGTGAAAAGAGGGTCAAGTGGTGGTGAGTGGGTAATATTTGCAAACACCCAGTGAAGAGGGAAGAGTATTGCAAACCAGAGACTGAAATGCATAAGCTGAGTAGGCAGGACCAGATCACGTGAATGGTGAAAAAAACTGCATCCTGAATGCTTCTTTCCCCACTTTTCCTTCAATACCCTTATTTTCTGATTAGGAACTGTTTTTTTAATGGTGTGTATTGTTTTATTTTCTCTTACTAAAACTTAGGTTTCATTGGGGGCAGAGATATTTTTTTGTTAATTCCTAGTGAGCAGTGCCCTAATGTACATGTTTAACATTTTTTCGTGCTGAATGAATCTTAGTCTTATTTTGATTGCATTGAGAACATGTGGTAAAGCCTTTACATATTTTTGTTGTAAGGAGGAGAAGACAGGGTATAAGAAAAGAAGCTGGGGAGATAAGCTGTTGGAATAATAGCCCAGGCAGGAGAGGGATGTATTCTGCCTAAGGTCACCTCAATGGAAACCTTTGTAACTTCCCTGTGTAAAGTAACTGTGTCCCCAAATCTTTTTCCTTTATTAGTATTTTTGCTTCCTTTTTGTTACTCTAATTTGGATTTGAGCTTCACCAGGTTCAAAGCTATTTTCCCTTGACATCTACTATAGCAGGTGCTCAATAAATATTTGTTCAGTGAATTAATGAAGTTCGATGATGTTAATGAAGATAGGAAGATAGGAGGATGTGGATGAACTATAGAGATTTAGGGTGGAAAGCTGACAGGATATGAGAATGAACTGGTGGCTGGGCTCTAGGGTGTTTGGAATTACCAATTTATTGAATAATCTTTAAAGTTAAAAAAAAAAGAAATGGGACGGGCTGGGGTTGTGGCTCAGTGGTAAAGCGCTCGCTTAGCATGTGTGAGGCATTGGGTTCGATTCTCAGCACCACTTATAAATAAATTAATTAGATAAAGGTCCATTGACAACTAAAAAATATTTAAAAAAAAGAAATGGAACATACTTAAGCACTCTGAATCTTCACATGTTATGGCTTACTTCTGTAGCAATCTGGGTCAGATTTTCTCTCCTTCTTGTCAGTTCCATGAGGACAGAGCTGGAATCTTTTGCATCTTTATATGGCATCTAAGTCCCACTCAAATGTGTTATAACCAATCCCTTCAAGTTTTTGTTTGTTGCCTTATGAGAAGGGAAACATGGTTTAAGGAGGGGCTATTAACACTTTTACAGAAAATTGAGGCTCAAAGCCGTTGGGGAACCTGTGCAAAGTCCTCCACTGAGGATCCAACCACACTAGAATTCTAACAGACCAAACTTGGCGGTGTCAGGAAGGATGGAACTTCAAGTTCACCCCAGACCCATGACCTGTAGTTTGAAAAAAACAAAACAAAACAAAACAAAAAAAAACCCAAAACAACCAAACAAGGTATTTTAACAAGAACAGGGACTGGCATTTGTGTTTTAGCCATTGCTTACATTTCTCTTAGCTGCCTAGCTTATACCAAGGGTGCTGCATCCATTCATTCATGTGTTTATTAAGTGCTAGTGTGCTTCTGAATGCTGCAGTGCAGTGGGAGGGAGATAACATGGTGAAAAAGAGCTTTCAGGAGCAGACTGAATTGTAAACACTGGAATGATATGACCCATCTTGCAGGATTTTAGTGAAGATTAAAGGGATAATGCCTAGTAGAGTGATTAGTTACCCTCAGGACTGGCTAATAATTTAAAGGGACAAAAGGAAAATGCAGATCCCCTTGTTAAAAAATTATTAAGGAAAAAAATTATCAAGAAGGCAGCAGTAGAATAGCTAAGAATAACTAAGAATAACTAAGCACAGGACCCTTCTGAGCATGGGACCCACGCTTGACTACACAGGCTGCATGGCTATAAAGCGGACTGTGGCTAACAGTGCTTGACATGGCAAGTGCTCAATAAGTGTTAATTATTAGTGACCTAGGGTCCCTCTGAGTTCAAGATCTATTGGAAAAAGACAGAACACCCAAATAACTGCATCAGAAACAATGTGACAGATACTGAAGACAGTTGTGGGTGCCATTCCAGAATATACAAGTTAAAAAAAGAACATTGGCAATCCAGAGTATGTGAGAGTAGTTATGATTTAGTAAAGTCATTGATGTCACTTTAGATACTGAGGTGGAATTTGGATGAAGACTATCAGTTTGCATTGTTAACCTTTTGATGATTATAATTATACTCTAAAAGCCATTTCTTCAGTGTAAAGAACAAAGCCTTTTGAGTCAGACATTTCTTATCTAACTAATAATAAGAACCATCCTGGACTTGAATATACCCTATTTCTGACACTATGCAAGATGCTTCCTGTGTATTATGTCATTAAATACCCCCAACAATCTTTGCAAGAAAGTACAATCATTAATCCTGTTTTTTACAGATAAGGAAAGCAAGAATCAGAGCGGTCAGGTGATTACCCTAAGGTTACCCTGGATAGCAGCAGAGGCACAAACTGAGCCTTATCTGGATCCAGAATCATAACCCCTAAATCAGATGCTCAGCTGGATGATTTTGGTCAGGTTATTTTTCCTGCTCTAGCATCTAGCTACTTCAGAGAGTGCTGAAGTTTGAATGAGTCTGAAGTTTGTTCAGCCTAAAGGTAGATAAAATATGTCAAGGCTTTAGCAGACTTATTCTGGGATTTCCCCCCCCCCCAGTCTATCTTTTTAAGAGTTAAATTTTTATATCTTTATTGTTGAGAAATGTGTTAAAGACAGATCCATAAAGTGCCTGTAGTATTGAGATGGGAGTAAGTGGCACAAAAAAGAGATTGCTCAGGACTTCAGGTTCTCGCTTCTCTTAAAAAAATATCAAGTGTTTGTAAAAGCTTTTGCACCCATGTGGCAGAAATGGGCTACCATCCTTGGTTTTCCTTGGTAGCTTTACTTTATAGCAATGGTAGGCTTCCCAGTGCAAGATGAAGACTTCATTAGGATAAAGGCATAGTTTTTAACCATAGTTCCAGGATCCTCAGTGTCATAAAATAGGTAAAGGACCTGACTGACAGCAAGTCCCACCCTCCAATGCCTGCAACATCCTGAACTCCGTACTCTTGTCACTGCAAACTTAAAATATGTTGGCTGATGAACTTTGCCCTCTGGCTACTCAAATATCTGATTTTAAAATGCTCAGATTTGAAAGCCTCCAGTAGCTGCACTGTGCCCAGCTCTAAAACAGTTGAGGAAAGATTGTAGAATTTGCATGCTCTTGATAGCTTTTGTGCATTTTGCATTTTGTTTTTGGTACCAGGGATTGAATGCAGGGGCACTTGGCCACTGAGCCACATCCCCAACCCTATTTTGTATTTTATTTAGAGACAGGGTATCACTGAGTTGCTTAGGGCCTCACTTTTGCTGAGGCTAGCTTTGAATTCAGCAATCCTCCTGCCTCAGCCTCCTAAACTGCTGGGATTACAGGAGTGCACCATCATGCCCAGATAGCTTTTGTTCATTTTTGTGCAGGCAGAGATAATATAATAATTGATTTTTCAGCCCATTTTCCTTGTCCAGAGATGATCAGTAATGCCCAAGAAGAATGCAGTTGGTACAGGTGTGATCAGATGATCAAGTCTTTTCTCTTTACACTGTACCACTGATGTTCACATTGCCTTCGTTTGCTTTAAGGACTGGGAATGGGATGTTGAGATGAGATGGAATGGCTTATCCACATGTGCTTTCATTTCTTCTCCAGAAGGGAAGATAAAGATATCTTAAAAAAAAAAAAACTTTACAACTGTGCAGAATTCAGTCTCCCTCTACCACCATTTCTACCCTTTGTAAAGTCATAGGAAACCCCCTCTGTTTCCATATGCTTTTGACTACTTCCCTCCCAAGGTGCCCCCAAATCATTCAGACAACAAAGGCTGGTCTTTTGGGTGCCCCAGAAAATGGGAGCTACTTCCAGTTTTCTCCTGGTTTCTCTTTGTGAAAAAAGCATTTACGCCTCAGATGGACAAACTGGTATTTCTTTTGGAATGAAATCCTCATCTTCATTCTAGGTCTTCTTCATTTCCCATTCCTGAAGTATAGAAAGAAAGAAAAAATCAGTTTGTTGTGAGTTCTAGTGTGACTGTAGGATAGAAAACATTTCACTGCACCTCATTATATAAACATCTCCACTGTCCTGGTCCTACTTAGTCTCTTGTGATCCTGAATAAGACACTTCTCCATGCTTATCTTGTCCCCTCATCCATTCTCAAATAGTAGCCAGAATGATCATTTAAAAATGTAATTCATAAAAAAATCTTGCTCAAATCTGTCCAATGGCTTTCCATTATGTCAAACAAAATCCAAGTCTTTACAAAGGACTGGCTAACTATAGCCCATTGGCCAAATCTGGCTTGTTGTCTGCTTTTGTATAACCCATCAGTTAAGAATGCTTTCACATTTCTAAATAGATGTTTGGAAAAAAAAAATTAAAAAGGAATGGTTTTGTGATGGGTGAAAATTCTATGAAATTCAAATTTCAGTGTCTACAAATGAAAAGTTTTGAGACATAGCCATGGTCTTCATTTGCTTAACTATTGTCTGTTTATTCATTTGCTTAACCTTTGTGCTATAATGGCAGGGCTGAGTGGTTGTAAAACAGACCATAAGATCCATAGGCTGGGTGCTAGGACTGTGGCTCAGTGGTAGGGTACTTGCCTAGCATGTGTGAGGCACTGGGTTCCATCCTCAGCCACCACATATAAATAGATAAATAAAGGTTAAAAAAAAAAAAAGTCCACAGAAGCTGAAGTTGAAGTACTTATTCTTGGCCTTTTACAGGCCAGTTTCTGGTTCCTGTCTTAGCAATCTGGGTTCCAGTTAGTTCCTCTCCCATCTCATCTCCTAATGCTCACCCTTGGTTCCCTTCCTTGAAATCACTGGATCTGTTCAGTGTCTTCACCCATGTCAAGCTTCTTTTCCCTCATGAAGGACTTGGCAGTTGCTCTTTGTTTTTTCTGAATCATCCTTCCCTCAGATCCCTGCAGTTTGCTCCCTCACACTCCTTCATCCTCTCAAAAGTACCTCCCACTCCTGTCTTGTTTCCTTACTTATGAAATGAGACCTTTTCTGTCTTTAGGCTCAGAAGCCAGATGACTGAACTTGTTAGAACTATGTGTTATCAAATAGTGAAAAAGTTCTGAATAAGATTGGAGGGTTTTTTTTTTTTTGACATTCAACAAAATACTTTTTTTTTTGCCATTATACATGTACTCTTTTTTTTTGCATTACAATTCTTAATATACATATATACCACAATCTTTCATATTTCTGTTTGTATATAACGTATGTTGGTACCAAATTCAAGTCTTTATACATGTATTTTGTATAATGATGACCATCACCTTCCACCATCCTTGCTAATCCCCTTCCCCCTCCCTCTAGATAGGGAAAAGGGGTGGGAGGGAAAGATTGGAGGATTATCTTTTTTGAGGAAACTATGTGTTATACTGTATGGGTGTATTAGTAATTCTCTGCCTTTCTCACTAGCCTTTCTCACTAGTTTTGTTTTTGGGTGAGGTTCCATATAAAGGGGAATACCAGATCTCTGATTTTGGTTAGCTGAACTGTTTGTATACCTTGGCTTTCTGTAGCACCCTTCCTTGGTTGGAGGTTACAATGGATGGACTCCTCTTCCTCAGCTCAGAAACGCAGTTGACAGGGAGAGATTGTTCTGGAACATTGTTTTGAGATTTACTTGCAGCTTCCTGTTGATGATAAAAAAAGAAGAGAAAAAGTTAAATAGGTGAGATCCAGTGCTGGCTACTGGCTGTTTTGTACCCAGCCTGCCTTTAAAAGAATAAGGGGGGCTGGGGATGTGGCTCAAGCGGTAGCACGCTCGCCTGGGCATGTGTGCGGCCCGGGTTCGATCCTCAGCACTACATACAAAACAAAGATGTGTTCGCCGATAACTAAAAAATAAATATTAAAATTCTCTCTCTCTCCCTCTCTCTTTAAAAAAAAAAGAATAAGGGAACTTTAAAATAGAAGGTAAACATGCCAGTATTGAACAAAGTGAGAGGAAGAAGACACTGAGGGCCTGAGGATAAAGGCAGTGATAGATAAAATTACTGGGCCCTCACTCTGCCTGAGGCACTGCATGGATTAGCTCATATAGCTTTTCAACAAGCCTATGAAGTAGGTACTATGATTAATCATCCCATTTTACAGATGAGGAAACTGGGAAGGTCAAGTTATTGTGCAATATCAAAGGCTGGTAAGTATCAGAGCTGGGATTGAAACTCCACAGCCCACCCTTTTTTTGAAAGTGGAAGGGGTGTTGAGGATTGAACCGGGAGCTGCATGCATGCTAACTAAGTGCTCTACCACAGAGCTATACAGCCTTACTCTTAGCCTCTCTGGTATTTCTTCTTATTTTCTACCCTACTGTTACCCATTATATTTTCCAGATAATTGCTTAACACTATACTGGATGTAGTTATTTAAGTGTGATATCTTAACAGCCAAGCCTGTAAGGAATTTGGAGAAGACTTCTATATGTCTTCAGAGGGTATCAATAGGATGAAAAGCAGAGGGAAAAAGCATTCTGGACCAGGCACATCAGGGAATGCTGGTGGGAGGAAGCAGCTGTGATGAATGAATCAGATCTGGCTCCTCCACCAGCCCTCTGTGACTCTGGCCATCAGGTTTTTCGTCAATAAAATGAGGTTGGAAACGCCCCATGGAGAGGAAGTGTAAGGGTGTAAGACAGCTCTAGCTTCAGATTCATGGGTGTGGTCTTCCCAGGTATTGTGACCTGGAACAACAATACAGCCCCTAGTAACAGCTCATACTTATCAGACAAATTATTTCATCTCTTTGATGGTCTGAAAGCAGGCAAGGCATTTATTAATTCAACAAACATTATACTCCTACAATTATTCAGATGTTGTAAACAGCTAGGAATGAAATGACAAACAAATCAAGCATAGTCCAATTTTTTTTTGTAATACTGGGGACCAAATTTAGGACCAAACATTCTACCACTAAGCTATATACCTTGCCCATAATTCTCAGTAAAAATACATATTAGGGGGAGGCAGACATTATACAAACAAGGACACAAATACATCCACATACACACAAATTAAGGTTAAGTGCTATGAGGAAAAATAATAGATGGGACTATTGGTAATTTAGACCAATGGTTCCTAACTAGGGTGATTTTGCTCTCCCAGGGGATACCTAGCAATTTCTGGTGCCATTTTGGGTTATAATAACTTGGGGTTGGCTACCAATGGTAGTCAATGGGTGCAGGCTAGGAATGCAACTAAACATCCTAGAATACACACAATAGTCTCCTATAAAAAGGATCATTGGATCCAATATCTATACAGCTGAAGTTGAAAACCTTGAGAGAGTAGGTCAGGGAGTTCTCCCTGAGAAGGTCCTGTTGGAGGTGATAGTATTGCCCTTGCTGAGCTGTCAGGAGTATTAGAGATGATGGATGTCAACCCTGAGGACAGGACCTTATGCTGGAGATGCCAGGAGAGGGCATGTACCATGGTGGTAGAGCAGAGTTCTGCCATCAGGCTTCCTGGATTTGGAACCCTGTGAGTAACCTTGAGCAAGTCATTCAAGATCTGTGACCCTTAGTTTCCTTGTCTGTCAAATGAGGTTAATACATGTAATGCTACTTCTTAGGACTGCTGCCAAGATTGAGTAATTCAGGTGAAGATCATACACTGATGGCAGTGGATCAATTCGTTTGTGAGTCAACATATGGTAGCTTATTATCATCAGTAACCCCAAGGCCATTTCTAAGATCACCCAGGACAAAAGTCCAACTGTGGGGCTGCTGTGGAGAGAACAGGCCAAAGAACCAGAACTTGCTTACAGGAGTTCCCTTCTTGGCTGTGTCGAAAGTGGCATGTGCCCTCACCTCTCTGGGCTTCAGTTTTCTCATATGGAAATGAGCATAACTCCTATCTCCAAACAACAATCATAATGGAGACATCTGCAGCATGTGAGGGGATAGAGGAGCAGCTTCCTCCCCTGCATAGATGGCAGTAGACTCACCCCACTCTTGTTCTTGCTGCTCATGGAGAGCCCCAGGGCTGGACCCCCTGCAAGGGACTGTTGCAAGCGCTCTTTCACAGCCACGAGCCTCAGTTCTAGGTCGATCCTGTGTTCCTCCTTTGCCCGACACTCAGCTTCCAGGGTGGCCACAGCTTCCTCCAGAGCCTTTAACTTTGCTCCTGAGTCCAGAGACACTGATGAGACACAGCCCAGCCTGACCAAAGCTCAAAGATTTTTTGTCAGGGCCTCTGGCCCTTGTCTGACCCTCCCAGAGGACCTTTTCAGAACCTTAATGACAAGGACTTTGGGCCTGCCTGGGCTTCTAGTTCTGTGTTGAGTGTGTGGTCTTTACCTGCCTAGGACCCATCTTCTGGAATTAGCATTCCCCCTCTCATTTTCTGTAGTTTAAGTAGTACCCTATTTCTAGTTCAAAGGTTTTGGCATATAACTTAGGCCTAACTCATAATCACCTCTCACCTTCTGGTCACAGTGAGTGGCTTAGAAATCAGAGTTGGTTCAATCACAGTGAATCCTGAGGTTTTGTAGTGCTTATGGGGGAGAAGCTCCACTGGGATGGCTAAGAGGGTTGGGTTAGGGTTGGAGCTTTGCAGAGGTTGTGCCACCACAAGAGGGAAAGAATGAAACCAAAATGGAGGAAAGCACAAATACAAGTTAGATAAGCTTCCTGGAGACATCATTTGAGCCCCTAGACCTCAGTGCACATGACCTCTCAATTTTAAAGTTATGTTTTTCTTCTTTTCATTTCTATGTAAGTCTAACCAGGCTCACAGGCAATCCATGAAATCCATGAGTAAGCTCCATGAGCTCCTGAAATTATTCGCAATATTTTGAATTGTGATTTTTTTTTTTTTTTTAAGGAAAGTCTGCAGGTTTATCAGATTCTCGTAGGGCTATATGGTCTTGAACATGTTCTATAAGGATAGGACTTTTGTTTCTTCCAGAATGTGGAGAAACCTCAGGCTGAAAGCATGGTGAACTGTATTTAAAGGAAACACAGAAGAAGGGGTGTGGAGGAACCCAGAGTAGGCAGGGATTTCAGAAGAGGAGCCTGGGAAAGTATCACTGTTCATCATTCCCACCTGGGACCAATGTCTCACACATCATCTGTGAATGAATGAATGCAAGATTCAAGATGATCTCTCAGGAAATGAGATTACCAGGTGCTAAAGTCACTTCTGTTTTTCATGCTTCTGAAGTCAGGCTTTCTCAACCTCTCATATTTTATGTAACCCCCTAAAGAAATAAGTGTACACATTATTGTGATACTTTTCCATTTTCTTCTCCCAAAGTGGTTATTAAACTGAAGGCACTTTTTTTAGTTAGGAGGAATTTTGATGTAAAAATGAAGAGGAGGAGGCAGGGGAGAAGTACGCCCTCCTGTGTGGGCAACTTCCCCTTGTTGTGACAGGGAAGGTGCCAAGGCTGAGCCACGGAGGCTCAGGACCACAACCACACAGGTACCTGGGCTGTTCCGAATGGCTTCCCGCAGCTCCCTCTTCTCCTGCCGAAGTGCCATCAGCTCTGTACGAATTGTCTCTTTCTCTTTCTCCAGCTTCTCTTTTTCTACCAGGTATCTCCGGGCATCCTCCTCAGCTCTGTTCTTGCCATACTTGTATTGATTGGCACCTGAAGAGATTTTGGGAAGAAAAAGGCCCTCAGTTCTGACCTCTAGTGAGGTGGGTGGATAGGGTTAACTTTTCTCTCAGCCTTATCTTCTCCATCTATCAAATGGGAATATTTAGATCTATTCTCTTTCATATAGAGAGCAAAAGGGAGGCCCCACAGCACAGGGACTAGAAGCTAGGGCTTTGCAACTCAGAGAAGGGGTTTGCATTTGCATTCTCTCTTTCCCTTGATGGTTGTGTCTTCAGGCAGAAGTGAATGGTGGTGCTTTTGTGCCTTTCTGCTGAGGCCTCAATTACCTTATATGTAAATAAGGATACTGATAACATTTAACTCATGGGGTGTGGAAAGATTTAAAGGAGGTATTTAAGGAAAAGTATTTAGCATAGTATCTGGCACATGGAGAGTGCTTAGTAATTGTTAGATAATAATGATAGTAATATATAACAACAAATTTTATGAGGTATAACACACTTTGATTTTTAAAAGGGCATGCTTTATGTGAGTCAACTCATATATATATATGATAGGGAGATAGCTACACATAATTCAGATTCATAGAGAATCCAGACTTTGGCTAAAGGCAGGCATTTCCCATTGTATTCCTGGGGGAAAGGTGGGGAAAGGGAGAGACTTAGTATTCTACTGTAGGTTGAACATGATGGTGGACAGTAACAACCAATAATCATGGTAGTAATTAATTAAGCATTTACTATGTGCTAGATACTTACATGCTAAGTGAAAACTTGCATTTTCACATTTAATCCTTATAAGATGCATTCTTTTATTATTAGTTCTATTTATTTATTTAGATATATTTATATTTATTATTATTAGCTCTTTTATTGTTTAGGAAACTGAGACACAGAGACATTATTTTCACTGCTAATGGTGACAGCTCAGTTGAACCTATGTCTGTATGACCATGCCATTTTTTTTTTTTAAATGGGTATCAGGGAATGAACTCAGGGGTACTCAACCACTGAGCCACATCCCCAGCCCTGTTCTGTATTTTATTTAGAGACAGGGTCTCACTGAGTTGTTTAGTGCCTTGCTATTGCTGAGGCTAGCTTTGAACTTGCAATTCTCCTGTCTCAGCTTCCTGAGTCACTGGGATTTCAGGCATGTGCCACTACACCCAGCTCATGCCATATGTTGATGCTTGAACTGGGCCAAGGCCAAAGTTCAGCCTCTCTGGGGAAATTATAGCCTTTTGGAAGCTGGTGGGGTGTGGAATGATTCCTATGTTTTGCTGATAATTGGGGTGTCTTATCTGTCTAGCTTTTCTGGGATTACAGTAGTCACCTAACAACCCATGTAAGAATCAGGTCTTGCCATAACTACCATACAATTAAAATCTGGATCATAAATTCAACATGGAGGTAAGAAATCCATACCTTCTCTACTTTTCCAGCTATACAGAGGCATGCCAGAAGAATTCACTCCTAGACTTTTGAATTTGTAGTTTGTTTTTTTGGTACTGGGGACTGAACCAGTGGCTTTACCACTGAGCTACCTCCCCAGCCCTTTTTACTTTTTGAGACAGGGTTGATCTCACTAAGTTGCTGAGGATGGCTTTGAACTTGAAATTCTCCTGTATCATCTTCCTGAGTTGCTGGGATTATAGGCATGGGCCACTGTGCCTGGCCTGAATTTTGCAGTCTTATAAAATAAATAAATAAAAGGAGGAGGGTATACTAACAAAGGGTTATCAACATTTTATCATTTCATTGTATCAGATGAAGACCTTTTTTGTACTATTACTCTTATACATGTTCCATCTATATATGTTGAAAACCCAACAATGAAGAGTTACAATTTTTATTTTATATAACTTTAAGTCTACTAAAGAAGCTGAGAAATGAAAGGAAAGCAAGGATATATTTGCAGAGCTTGTTCTCTTAACCTTCTTATTTACCACTCACTTCTTATTTACCCACTCACCACCTTTGTATCATTATTGTCAGTTTTTCACATTTCTTTATATACTATAGGCCTGAAAAATACAAATAAATATGGTTGTATACATTGCTTTTCCAACTCAGGAAGAGAATAAATGAGACAAAATATGTATTTGTATTTTTATAATTACTTAATTACCTTTACCAGTGCTGTTTTTGTTGAATTAAAATTGCTGTCTGGGGTTACATACTTTCAAACTGAACAATTTCCCTTTGTATATCTTGTAAGGTAGAGCTACTAGCAACAAACTCTCAGTTTTTACTTATCTGGAAATGTCCTTATTTTATCTCAATTTTTTGAAAGATATCTTTGCTGGATATAGGATGTGAATTGACAGCTCCCCCAAACATTGACAGTGTTTTGAGTATGTCATCCCACTACTTTCAGGTCTCCTCTATTACTGATAAGAAATTGGCTGTTAATCTTATTTTTTTTACTTATATGTGCATTTTTGTGTGTGACGAGATAATTTTCTCTTCTGCCTTCATGATTTTCTCATCTTTAGTGTCAGTGTTTTAATGATGAGTTCTTTGTGAATCCCCTTGCCTTTATTTTACTTAGAGTTTGCTGAGCTTTTTGGATATGTAGATTGTTTTTCAATGAATTTTGCAAGTTTTTGGCCATTCTTTATTTGATTTTTTTTCTTCCTCTTTTTTCTCCTTTTGGTATTACCTTTATACATATATTAGTGCACTTAAAGGTATACCACATTTCTCTGAGACTCTGTTCACTTTTCTTCCTTCTTTTTACTTTCTACTCTTCAGCTTACACAGCCTTTTAATCTATTTTCAAATTCACTGATTTTTTTCTTCTGCCAGTTCAAATCTACTGTTAAGTCCTTCCTCCCTCTCTTCATGGTATTGTGGATTGAACCCAGAGGCAGAGATATATCCCCAGTCTTTTAGAATTTGAGATAGGGTCTTGCTAAATTGTTGAGGCTAGACTCAAAACTTGCAATCCTCCTGCCTCAGCCTCCTGAATCACTAGAATTATAGGCATATGCTACCAGGTTCAGCTTAAATTTATTTCTTTGAATGTATTTATAATGGCTATTTTGAAATTTTTGTTAAATTCTACATCTGCATCCTTTCATAGACACTTTTTGTTGCTTGCTTTGCCCCCTTTGAATGGCTCATGCTTTCATGATTCTTTACATGTCTCATAATTTTTTGTTGAAAACTGGTCACTTTACTATATTACAGCATCTTTAGATATTTATTGATTTTGCCTTCCTCTCAAGGATTGCTATTTGCTTAATATTTTAGTGACTTGGCTGGACTATTTTATGAAGTCAGTTTTCTCTAGCAACGTGAAACCTCTGATATTGCTCCTCAGAAGACATAGTACTGTGCATGGGTATAATCACCCTGGATGGCAATGGTTTTGGTAGGGTTCTCTCTGACTCTCTCCTAGATCTTTCTCTTAAGCTGTCTGCTGCTGTTGTTAATCTAACACTCAGCCATTAGGTTCTACTAATTGTTAACTAATTGTTGTTTTTGAAAATGCTCTGGGCATAAATTGCTCCATGGTCCGATCCAGTTAAATTCAGTCCCTTTACGGGATAGATTTTGGGACCAGTCTTTTGAGATTAGTTCCTAATGCTGTTCTTAGCTGTCTTTGTGGTTCTCTCTGATCAGCTAGTGGCCTGTGGTTTAGTTTATTGCTCCTGTGGAGCTCCTAGCCTCTTCTTGTTTACCACCAATCTCCATTGTGTTTGAGAGTACCTTTTACTTTGAACTTTGCTACACTGTGTTGCACTCAAAGTCAGATTGTTTGTTTGTTTAGTTTTATATGGATACAATATCTTTATTTTGTTTATTTGTTTTTATGTGGTATTGAGGATCAAACCCAAGCACTCTGCCACTGAGCAACCCAGCACCGAAGTCAGTTCTTTTGAGAGAGAACGTTGGAGTTCTCTGTTCTTATGGCCCACCTTTTCCCCTGGCCAGAATCCCTGAGTCACTGCTCTAGATCTGGGGGTAGAAACATTGGCCATTGTCATCTGAATGTTTTTCTTCTCTAAAATTTATGTTGAAACTTAATTGCTATTGTAATAGTATTAAAAAGTGGCACGTACCCCCCCCCAAAGTTCGACCTTTAAAAAGTGATTAGCTTATGAGGGCTCCACCCTCATGGGTGGCAAATTCCCCTGTGCGGTTGTGCACACCTGTAATCCCAGTGGCTGGGGAGGCTAAGGCGGAAGGATTGCAAGTTCAAAGCAGGCCTCAGCAATTTAGTGAGACCTTGTACATTACAAAACAAAAAACAAACAAACAAAAAATAGGGCCAAGGATGTGGCTCAGTGGTTAAGCATGTCTGGATTCAATCCCCGGTACCTTCTGTCATGTGATGATGCAGCAAGAAGGTCCTGCCAGATGCTGGTACCTTGATCTTGGACTTTGCAGTCTCTAGAAGCATGAGGCAATAATTCTCTTTTTGTTATAAATTACCAGTTTCAGGTATTCTGCTATAGCAGCACAGAATGAACTGAGACAGCTTGCTTGTCTTGGAGTGGTATTCCTGCCTTATGAGCAGGGTGCAGGATTGGGGCAGTAACTTTTGGTTTTTTCTGCTTGCCTCCTTCAGCCTGGAACCTCTCTGTCTGGTTGAACTGGAAGGAGGGCATTCAGGCTCCAAGTACTTGTGAGCTGGCCCACCTTGGGTAAAGCCTGTACCCCCAAAGAGCTGGATGGAGAAGGGAGCTCCCTGTCTTTCTGCTGCACTCACTTGGAATTTAGCCTCTGCAACATGGAGCTGGGCAGGATGAGAAATGCTGGTAGCTTGTCCTTCCTGGGGAGACACTGTAGCCCTTAAAGGAGCTGGGGGAACAGTGAACCCTGTTTTCTCATCCACACTTGCCTGGAGCAGACACTTTATTTTTTTCATACTGAACAGGGGGTGGGGGTAGAAGAAGGTAAAGATATGGGTTGTGGCTTAAATGCCGCTCACTCTCACTGTTCTTACTGAGATTTAGCACATTTTCTAGAATATGTATTTATTCATTTCTTATATGCCCTTAACAATTTCCAGAGATTTTAAATGATTGTTTTAATAATTTTCTTCAGTTACAGTTGTTTTTTTGGAGAGTGGGTCCACAGTTTTCTCATGTCACTATTTTTCTCAGTAATAAACTTGGCCTCCACAATTTTTACTTTTTGATATTCATGCCCTTTTGTGGTCCTTTCCCACAAAAAAACAAGGCTGAGCTGTATAATATTAGGATATTGCAGAAATGACAAGACTATGACTTCTAAATGTAGATCATAAAAGACATGTATTATCTGCTTGCTGCTCCCTCTTAGGTTGTGTGCTCTGGGGGAAGCCAGTTGTCACATCATGAGGACTTGCAACCCTATGAAGTGGTGCCCATTGCAAAGAACTGAAGCCTCCTTCCAACACCAGCACAAACTTGCCTGGCATGCGAGTGAGCCATTTTAGAAGCAGATCCTCCAGTCTGGCAAGCCTTCAGATGACTTCAGGTGATGAGACAATGTCTTGATTGCAGCCTGATGAGAGGCCCTCAGCCAAAACTACATAACTCATTTACTCAGGATTTTCAAACAGCAGAAACTGAACTAAATTTTGGGTATTTTGTTATATTGTGATAGAAAATTAATACATGATATTGTGCAAGTCTCTTTTGCTGTAGACTGATTATGAACCTCCAAAATTCCTATTTGAGGTGGGTCTTTTGTAGGTGGGTAGGTCACGAGAGTGGAGCCTTCATAAATGGTATTAATGCCTTTACAAGAGACTCCAGAAAGTAAAAAAAATGGCTATCTATGAAGCAGAAAATGGGTCCTCACAGACAGAAATCTGTTGGTGCTTTGGACTTCCCAGCCTCCAAACTATGAGAAATAAATTTCTATTATTTATAAGTCATTCTGCTTATGGTATTTTGTTATAGCAGCCTAAGTGGGCCAAGACACCTTTTATTTATGTTCTTCAAACAATGTTGTTGGACTACATTAGTGGTTACATTAGTGGTTTCCCACCACTCTTCAAGGAACCCTGTGACTTCATAGTGATGGCCAACACTGATAGCTAGGGGAATGAGTGGGCTTCAACAAGAGTAGCTCCGTTTTTACATCTCTTTCATAAATTGGTTTTTCTGCTTATTTCAGTTTTTCATTTTAAAATGGGCTTTTCATAAGGCCCTGTATTTCCAGTGCCTATGAATAGCATATAAAGAATGTTACACAACATTTCTTTAGTTATTTAGAGAGGGAGCTCAAAACATGCTGCCCCCCCCTTTTCTTTCTTTCTTCCTTAATGCTGAGAATGGAACCCAGGGCCTCAGGCTTGCAAGGCAGATGTTGTAGCAATGGCTACATCCCTAGCCCAAGGAGGGAATTCAGACCTAGAGATGGGAAAGGACTTTACCAAACTTGTGTTCCAAAGAAGACAGATCATCTCACTCCCAGGAGGGAAGAACTATCCAAATGAAATGGAGCTACAGTAAAGTTTTTTTTTTTTTTTTAAAATCTTAAAAAAGCAAAGAATAGAACCTCATTTTTTTTTTTTCAGGTGCAAAGGAAGAAAAGTAAGGAAGGAAGAAAAAAACTCTTGGAACAGGCTTTCCTACAGGAAGCTAGCTTCTCATAGTATAGCAATAATTCACATGAGTACAGAGGTTAGTGTTAGAAATCAGACAGAACTTAAAGAGGCATCTGATGTACTTAGTTATCATTGTGCAGTGTGGCAATCGAGCAATTCACCAAGACCCACAGCATGCTAGGTGGAGCTCGGCCTGGGACAGAGGTGAGCCATGGCTCTCACGGCAGCCCCCTCCAGGTTGTGTGGAGGGATTTAGTTCTCCACTTATAATCACAGATCAGAAATCATAAATTATTAGCTTCAGAAACAGATACAACTTGAAGATGACTTCTCTCATTGTCTCTCTCTCTCTCTCTCCATATATATATATGCATATGCATATATAAAACAATCAGTGTTAAACTTTATAAAAATTAATTACTAACATTATTAAAATTTCATATAAAGTCCAGATTTCTGGCATTTTGAATAATCAGTAAATCTGGCAACAGGGGCTGGCACTGGACCACTGAAGTGAGCTGGCGGTCACCTATAGAGTTGGGCCTGAGTGCTCCAGTTCCCTTAGCCCTACCTCCAGTCAATTTCCCTCTGAGGCTATCTGCCAGCTTCCTTTTTTTCAGTGTGCATGTGTTGTTACCTTTTTTTTCAGTGCTAGAGATGAACCCAGAGCCTTATGCATGCTAGGCAGGTGCTGTACCACTGAACAACACCCCAATCCCTATTACTTTTTGTAGGGCATTTTCTTATGACTGACTTTACTCATTTATTGACCTGCCTGAACCTGGAGGAATCTGATTTTGAGAACTGTGCTGTAGGCTACTTCCCTTTCCTGTCCCTGCTTAGCAGGGAAGGCCCACACAGAACTCACTGGAGGCATGGCGTTTGACCTTGACCTGTGGATCCACTCGATGGGACTTCTCACTGCAGGAGGAGGCATGGCGTTTCACCTGGGCTCCAGTGGGGCGCTCAGGCTCCTCATCCTAAGTGGGAGATGTAGGAAAATGATTAAGTGCAAGAGGCTAAGGCTGCAATGCAGAGATGTGTTCCCTGTCCGTTCTGAAATTTGTGCAGTACTTGACAGTTTATAAATGACTTTCCCTGGTGTTATATTATTTGAATCTCCTACTATCAAAGGCAGCAGAAGGCAACTCTAAACTGGAGTACCTATGAGAGAACTAGGAAGTCTGAAAAGACTGTGGTATGCTGCCACAAGCATTCTGGGACATGTGACAGGTACCGAGGACTCAAGTCAATGAGCTGACTCCTCCTTGTTTTTGTGAGCAAAACAGGGAGACAACCCTGTTTTGCTGAAATCTAGACTGAAAGCCTTGCAGGTGGCCAATAGGCAGCATCTACCCCTAACAACATGGAACAAACAGCTCAGTTCAGAGTGGTAAGCAGAGGAGGAGAGCCCAGCTCCTTGCTGAAAGTGGACACAGTGCCTTATATTTCTGGAGTGCTTAGCAGTCTAAAGAGCCTCTTTTTTCCTCCTGACCTGGGGCTCTTTCCACTGCACCACCCGGCCTCCTGTGCTAGGGATTCCTCCTCCTGAACTATCATCTGTCAGAAGACGGGACTCCCCTTTGAGCTGCCAGTTAAATGAAAACCATTTCTCTGAAGCAAAGGATAAAAGGGTCACTGAGGGAAAGAAAGAAATAGAAGAAATGGCCTTTATTATGTTCCCAAGCAACCCCAAGGGACCATACCTGCATCTTTTCATAAGGAACATCATCATAGACTCTGGGCTCAGGCCACTGATCCTGGCAGGATCTTGCATATCTAGAAAATGAAAGGTACAATGATGGTGATGGCAGTTTGCAGTTTATAGTGTTTTCCTGTCCACTCTCATTTGATCCTGGCAGCAGCTCTTAATGTGGGTCAGCAGATCATGTGCTGTGTGAGCACTTCACGGGAAGGGACCCACATGATTCTCACAATAGCCCAGAGGGCAAGCGATTCATCAGAGCCTTTCTGTAAGTCAGGAAACAGAAGATCCAAGATGGCAAGCAGTCAGCCCACATTTCTACAGCTGGTGGTAATTAAGCTGGGACTTGAACCTAGAGTCTCCAATGCTTAACTCCATGGAACAGCCACATGTTCACCTGCATACTCAAGGATAGCTTAATGTCTAGTAGCCTGAGGGCCGAGCCCATTACTCCAGGGATTCCCCAGTTTTGCTCATTCCACAGCTTGCCTTGACCCTGGCCTACGTCCCTCAGCCAGTTCCTTCCCCCAAGTTTAGCTTCCCAAACTCTTCCTCCCTTTCCTTCCAGTGCCCAAGGCTGGACACAGATACATTGAGATTGAGCTGAGACAGGAAAAGTCATGGGCAGCTGTGTGCTGAGGGACTGGCCCTTACAGGAAGGAGTTGCGCCCAGCACTGACAATGCTGGTTAAGGTCTCCACGTCCACGTAGTCATAGTGCAGAGCCTCTGGAGTGACTTTGGAGCCCATCTCCACCAGCAGCAGCCCAAGCCAGCGACCCATGTCCTCTGAACAGCTCGCCTGGGGGAGAGGAGGCACAGTGAAGTTCATTTTCACACTGTGGGGCCTCTGGCTTCCTGCTCACTTCAGCCAAACCCACAAATATTTATAAGTGCCTATTATGTACCCACTTCTTAGGAACCAAAGAGGAATAAGACTTGGGGTCTGTGCAACCATTTGGATATAAAAACAACATTTAGGTGTTCTCTGAAATTTTTGAAAACTACTTACTTTTCTCTTAGGGGAAGCAATTGCTCATACAACTCAATTTTTACTTGCATTGTAATTGCCAAATAATTACAGTACTATAGGGGAAGCCTCCTTTAAGTTGCTGGTTAGCCAAACGCATACTTAATTCTCATTTAGAAAGCATTGTTATAAAATCAACTTAGCTTGCAGATGATAAAAGTGAATAAAGGAAGTACACTTTGTGCTAGAAACTCTGTATCTAAGTTAATGAAATAAGAGACCTATCTGAAGCTATGAGAAATAAAAGCAAATTACAGAGGCAATATTTCTTGAAATTTAAGAACTGAGAGAGGCAGTGGGTAACTGGGCAAAGAGAACAAGATCAACAGATTGAGTTTTAATCCTGTGGGGCACTATGTAAAGCATTAGACAACCCTGGCCTCAGTTTCCTTATCTATAATACAGGAAGATAGGTATTTTAAGTTTTCTTCCAGTGTCAACATTTTAAATTCAAATAGTCAGTAGGATTCTGAGAGTCAATGTGTTTTGCATGACCTCCGGAGGAACTCAGTGTCTATGGGTAGGAAGCACAATGAATACATGAAATGAATTCATTTTTCATTTATCCATTGTGCAACAAATGCTTATTGAGTGCACAGTATATGCCAGGCATCATGCAGACTTCTAGAAAAATAAAAGTATGCAGAACAGGCATGGTTTCAGCTTTTGTGGAATTTAAAGATTTAAACTCTATAATATAGAGAAAATCTTTCTAGAAATTTGAGTTGCTTGATGAGAAGAGTAGGCTACATCAGAGGGCAGTGGTTCATCTGAGGTGGACTGCTGGGAAGGTTTTATGGGAGACTCTAGAATCAAATCTCGGTTAGACCGATGAAATGCCTTTCAGATTTGGGATTTCAAGGTCAGGGAGGATAAATATACTTTAGTTCTAAGGCAGTCAGAATTAGGATTAAAAACCCAAAATGCTCTGTTAAATTAGAATTTCAGATGAGCGACAAATAATTTTTTAGTATATTTAGTATGTCATCCAAAATTTAGTATGTCACACATAATATACAAAATATCATAGGTACACATGTTAAAAGCATGATTTGCCAAGTACTTAGAACAGGCATTTAAGCGTGTGTCCCCTGTGTTATCTTGCAAGCCTGCTGGCTCACTGACAGTAGCACTTGCTTTCCTCTCAGGCCCTGCAGCGTCCTTGGGCAAGGTTCCCAACAAAAACAGTACCCTTGGGCCAGAGCCCCACCACAAGGCCCATCTGGACTCTCTCCTCTCACCTCCAGGATGGCCACCTCCTGCCGGTTACGCAAGATCCTGAAGGCAAATGGGTGTCTGGGCCCAAAGCCCGGAGCCACCTCACAGCCCCGGAGGGCGATTGCGTTCACGTGGGTCCGCAGGTCCGCACGGTCCTTGTGGAAATACAGTGTGTTGCATTTGAGGCGGCACCAGCGTTCCTTCCAGCCCTGGTTCACCAGCACGTGCAGATAGCCTGGGAGGGGAGAGAGCAGTGGCTTGACCTCCCCACAGTCCACCTTGGACAAACCCCATTTGGGGCTGCAAATTTAGTGCATGGGCCACAGCCCGGGACAGACTGCCAGACCACTCTTGCACCCGCTAGAAAGAAGGTCTCTGCGTTCTTTTGGATCAGCTCACGCGCCCCTGCTTGGGATGGTAGGCATCCTCTTCTCTGAGTTTCAGTTTCCTAGCTGTGAAGTGGGCACAGATAATCCCGCTTGCATATCACTGCACAGCCCTGGGACCACACCAAGTGTGATGAAAAGGGCAAGAGCTGCTCCATAAATTGTATAAAGATACAACTTGCCTCTCCTCCCCTCCCCAAATCCAGAATTTACCCAAAGATAGAAAATAGTGGATGGTGCTGACACCTAGTGGCAGAGTATGGGAACAAAACTAGCCGTTCAAGGGAAAGAATTATAAAATTGAAATCAAGGCCCAGACTGCTCCACAGTTAACCAAGGTGCGCTTAGAATTCCCTCTTTTAATAAATAGATTAAAATTTATTATATTATTTTACTGTAACAATCCTGGACTCACTGATTTATATATAAAATATATATATATAAATATATATATATACATACAGACATATATATTAACTTTTTTTAATACTTAATTTTTAGTTTTAGGTGGACACAAAATCTTTTATTTTTATGTGGTGCTGAGATAGAACCCAGCGCCTCACACATGCTATGCAAATACTCTACCACTGAGCCACAACCCCAGTCCCCCTGATTACAAAATATTTTGTGTTTTTCTTTTTCTTTCTTTCCTTTTTTAAAATGTTTCTTTATAGTCATATTCTCTTATCCTATTTTTTTTTAGTGGTAGAAGAATATTATTGCATATCCAAAACAGCTTTTTCTTTTTGTGGATCCAGAGATCAAAACTGGACCTTATGCATGCTAGGCAAGTGCTCTGCCTGAGTTACCCCCATCCAGTCCCTCAAAATAGATGATTTCTTATTGGATTACAGTAAATGGAATGCTGCATTTATATGAAAAAATGTTTTGCCTCCGAAAGCCCTTTTCACTCACATTGAGTGCATTTATATTGAAAGGTACTTAAATATTCTAATCCAAATCTCTTTATGAGACTGGTTTACAACTTACATATCTGGCATGTTATATGCTATGAAATGTTACTCCCCTCTCATTATACAGAAGAAAACTGAGACCCCAAGATGGGCAGTGATTTGGGCCAAGGTCATAGGGAGTACAGAAATATGGGGGTCAGTGGATCTTTCCTTTCACTGAGAGGGCCTCATAGGAGCCAAGTGATGGCAGGGTGTAGATGTTGGTGAAGTGGGGTTTAGCCATGCAGAAGACTGGAATTCTCTTCCCTGCCCTGGGAGCCAGGTAGATGAGGCACGGAGGGTCTCCTGGCTTTAGCCCTAGGTGCCTGAATGCCCTTGCGCTCTACATCCTGTACCCACCACAGCAGGGGACCTCCTCCTCTGCAGAGGACGTCTGCAGGTCCTCAGCCAGTGCTTTTTTCTTGGAGAAGCTGATGATGCGGGTGATCTTTCGGCCTGCAGCTCTGCTCATGGAGCCCTTCAGCTCTGCCAGGCTGCTCTTCTTCCCTTTGCCTGTTGCAGCAGAGATGGGTCAGGGGAGGAGAAGGAGCCCCTTGTCCTAGTTCCATCCATCCCTGGCCTTCCCAGCAGCCCTTTCAGCTGGCACACAAGGGACTAGTATCCAGTTCCAGGTATGACAGTCCAGGTCGTTTAACCTAGGTCTCCTGGACCTGCTCTGCCACTGTGTACCCACAGCTAAGGCCCCTCCTAGCTCTGGCAATCTTCAGCCTGAGCCAGCAGAGGCTCCTACCATGTTCGCAGGTCTCCCGGCGGCTGAGGGTGGAAGCACTGTCTCCCATGCCTAGGCTGTCGGAGTCTGAGGTCTGCTTTTCTTGGGACAGCCTCTGAGAAGGGACACAGACAGCCTCACGTCAGAGGAGACACTCAGAAGTACCCTTTTATTGGTTTAGTTTCCCCAATTCCCCACACACATGATAATCAGTTTAACGAACACTATAATGTACCTGGTATATCGTGCCAGGTATGGAGAGGACAACAATGACTTACTCATGTTGTGTCTTCGTTGTATAGTCTATTAGGGATGAGGCAATTAGTCATCACACATTGACAGCAGTGTCCTAGGAGTTTGCACTGTGTTTGGCAAGTGACAGGGAGCTGGGAGTGAATGTAGTGGTATGCTAATGTAATCCAGTGGTGTTGTGGGGTGGACAAGAGGGGCCAAGACTGAATGCAAAAGAGCCTATGGAGACACGTCACTCCTGGTCAGATGAGACTCCAGAAGGGGGCGAGCCAAGGTGACAGCAGGGATGACAGAAAAGGGATGGGCCAGCAGACATTTTCAAAATAGTTGAGACAGGACCTTGTGACCCATAGGAGTCCATTATGATCCCAGCTTTGATGGGAGAATGATAAGCGCGAGTGCAGACACACACGTTAGCAAGTTCATTGCCAGCCAACATTATTTTTACTCATACCAACTCCAGACCAATCATACATTCATTGATTCAGTCATACAGGGTCAAGGTAGCCTGTGAGGTAGAGCAGAGTAGTTAGTCAGATCTTGGAAGAAATTAGGACCCTACTCTCATTTTTTAGCTGTGCACATGTGGGAAAATCCTCTCATTTTCCCCAAGTTGGTTTTCTCATCTGAATTACTCCCCCTTCAGAAGGCTGCTGTGAGGCACCAGAGAGATGGCCCAAGTCTGAGGCCAATAGGTTGTATCATTCTTAACACCTGTGTGAAGGGCTGTTCTCCTGCTTCAAGAAGCTAAACTGTGCCAGCCAGGCCTGGGACAGGGTTAAAATGATACCCACCCACTTAAGAAGGCAGAATTACAGAGATGAGGCCCCTGCCAAGGATCCCCAAGATCAGGCCCAGGGGTGCTTCGTGATAAGCCCCATCCTAGAAAGCAGGGAGGACACAAGAGGTCATGGGCTCTTCTTTTATGTCCATAGGACTGGAAAAATAATAATTGTCAGAAATGGGGTAGCACTGCCCAAGCCTCCGCTATAAATTGTAAAACAGAAGCTGTGGCTGTATTTGTTCTGCAGTGGTGTACAGACAGCAAGCTTTTCATCAACACAGAAAGCAAATACCAAGAAATGCTGCGAGCACTTTGGGATTAACTGAGGGATGATGACATTTCAACCCCATGATTCCACGGAGAAGCAGACCCACCAATACCCACATCCTCAGCCCCATTTGCACCCCCAAAACCACCCTAAATATGTTACCCTCCCCCAAAGACTTGGCTGCAGGAAAACTCAACTATATAAGCTCATCTCTACACATCCTGTGAACTGCACCAGTGCAAGCGCGTATGCAAGTGCGCGCGCGCGCACACACACACACACACACACTCTTTCTTTCTCACACCATCAACATTGCTTTCCTTTAGGCTCCACTACTGACAAGGCTGAGTGAGAGCAGGGCTAGGCTTCTCCACCAGCACCCTCTACACATGAGAGACCCCGCCCTGCCATAACTGTCACCTGATCCCATGGGAGTGCTTCTGCTGTCACCTCCCTTGACCCCCCTGCTTCAGTAACATCTTGCCCAAACTGTAAGGCTCACCATAAGTGCCATCTTCCCTACTCCTCCTGTCCCTCCAGCCAGTCCCCCTCACTGTCACTACTCAGGGCCACTCTAAACAGGGCTGACAGGCTCTCCCCGCCCTCTGAATTCCATGCTTCCTTCTGCTCCAGCCTGTTCCCTCTGCTTGGAATCCCTTTCTCTTACCCTTTCTTGCTAACTTTTCATCTTAATATGAAAAGTGACTTCCTCAGGGAACCTTCCTGTACCTCTGAGAGAGGAGCAGGCTCCCACCACACACTCCCAGGGATCCTGGTACTTCCCCCCTTCCTAGAACTTCCTTGGCTTGGCGTTTGTAAGTCTGTGTGATTATTTGATTCAGGGCTCCTTGTTCACTGGCTTAAGTGCTGTGAGAGCAAGGGACGTACCTGTTTTTTAGGACTATATTTCAGGGTTCCCACAGTGCCTAGCATGGGCAGAGCCTTAACAAGTACTTGTCTGGTGGATGGTCGGGATGCTTCACTGAGATGGCAGAGTACTCAAGACTGTCTGGCTTTAAACTCTAGTTCTGTTTCTTCTTTCTTGCTTGCTTTCTTCCTTTTTTCCCTCACTACTGATTGAATTCAGGGCCACTCTTACCACTGAGCTATATCCCCTGCCCTGCCTTTTTACAAATTTTTGAGACAGAGTCTCACCAAGTTTCTGAGGCTCGACTCAAACTTATGATTCTCCTGCCTCAGACTCCTGAGCTGTGGGGATTACTGGTGTGCACCACCAAACCCGGCTCCTGTTTCTTATTTACTATTTGACATTGGATAAATCTTTCCATGCCACAGCTTTCTCATCTGAAAATTTACCTACTCCAAAGTTGTTACAGAAATTAGTTAATATATATAAAACATTTGAAATAATGCTGTACACAGTTACAGTCTATAAATACTAGCCTTTATTACATTCTGTAAGACCCATCTATGTGGAGCTTAAACCTTCCTGTAGGCTATGATATCCTTAAGGGGATGATCTGAGTCTGAGTTCCTTTGTTACCTACAGTACCTGGCAAAAGGTAGGCACTGGTACATATTTGCCCATGGCCTGACCAGCTGACCAATGACTGCTTCACCTGTGTTCCAGGCAACCAACTTTCTCTTCTGGTGATATAGTCCAATTTATTTTTCATGGTACAGTTCAGACGTGACCTCCTATCTAGACAGGGTGAGCCACTCCTTCCTGTGTTCATACTGCACCTTGGACATAGACACTCATTTATTTGTGCATTCATGCATTCAGTAGACATGTTCTAAGCACCTACTGCTGTGCCTGCTCTGTGCGGGGCATGCATTGCTTGTTTGGCACCATCAGTGGAATCTGGCTTCCCCACCAGCCTATGATATCCCCTGCGGTGGGGTCCATGTTGAATGCCCACTGCCTGGTCAGGAGGGCTTAGTAGAGACAGACGTACCTTGTCCAGGTCCAGCTTGCACTGGAGCACCGGGGATCTGGGAGCCTCTGTACCCTCAGCTCCCCCAGTTGGCCTGCTGACCTCTCGGATGACCTGTGGAGAGGACACACAGCCAGGAAAAGATGGTCACGAAAGGTCTGGAGGCAAAAGGATGATTGAGTTTTGTATGATCAGGGCTGTTATACAGAGGGGTGGATGCAGACACTTGCACAAGCATGGGGTATATCAGAGTCTGAAAGGCTTCCTTCTGTATCTGTCCCTTGGACTAAGAGGATACAGGGCTAGAAACCAAGAGACTTAGTTTCATTGCTGATTAGTTGTGTGTCTTGACAAAGCTACTTCTGCCAGGCATGGTGGCACATGCAACTTAGGAAGCTGAGGCAGGAGGATGGGGAATTCAAAGCCAACCTCAGCAACTTGGTGAGGCCCTTAGAACTCAGTGAGACCCTGTCTCAAAATAAAACATAAAAAGGGCTGGGGATGTGTCTCAGTGGTTAAGTGCCCCTGAGTTTAATCCCTGGTTAAAAAAAAAAAAAAGAGAGAGAGAGAAGAAAAGAAAAAAGAAAAAGCTACTTCTTTGCTCTGGGCCTCCATTTCCATATCTGTAACATGAGAACACTGGTCCTATGCTGGGGCTGCTGAGGCTGCAGAGAGTTAGACTGTGGATGTGAGGGGTGATATGAACCAGAAAGGCTTGCAAGGCAAGAGCCTGCTTCTGTGACCAAGGGAGGAGCTGAGGTCATCATCTCTATGTCAGTGATAAGGAAACAGAGTCACTCACTCATTCAAGGTTGCAGCAATAAGCATGTAGATCATAAAGTAATGATAGCCACCATTTGATGCTAACCCATCAGGCATTTTATCTCCACAGCAACCAGTGATCCCCAAGTTGCAGGTTAGGATGATGAGACTCAGAGAGGTGAAGCCATATGTGGGTAGCGGCAGAGCCAGAAACTAAAAGCAAACAGTATGGCTGCAGGCTCTTAACCTTTAGATAAAATGTTAAGGCAAGCAGGCTCCTCTCTTTTTTGCAGTACGGAGGATAGAGCTCAGGGGCACTCTGCTACTGAGCTACATCTCCAGCCCTTTTTATTTTTTATTTCAAGGCAGGGTCTCACTAAGTTGCCCAGGTTAGCCTTGAACTTTCTGAGGCTGGCCTCTACTTATGATCCTCTTGCTTCAGCCTCTCAAGGATTATGGCTGACAGGAGTCTTGTAGCTCAGTGCTGGGGCTCCATCTTCTGACCCATCTGGCCCTAGGAGGCAGAGGTTTCCCCACCAGGCGGGTTCTCTCACTTCCTTCCCCTCCTGAGACAAAAGCAGTCAGGAGAAGCACCAAACATTCCACGCAAGAGCTGGTTATCACAGGAAGGAAGGGAGGGAGGGAGGTGCTTGGTTTCCTTGTTCCAGCAGGGAGATCAGAGGAGGAGGGAGAGAAAGGTGTCAGAGTGGAGCAGAGGTCTGTGCAGGGGGAGGTCGGCTGGAGACGACTGGGACTGGAGCATCGCCAATATTGCAGCAGTCACTGACAGTTACTGACACCTGCTGTCTGCCAGGTGCTGTGCCGAATGCTCCCTAACATCTTCACAAGAACCATTTTACAGACAAGGAAATCACGGAACAGGGCAGCAAAGTCATTTGTAGAAGACCACACAGCCAGTGAATGCTGCTTATCCTGGGACTTGAGCCAAGTCTATATGCCACCAAAGTCTTCCTTTGTCATAACCATGTCACTGTGTCTATGCCTTTGGAATAGATCTACTTCTTTGATTCAAATTATGGCACCAACCACTTGGCAGTGAGATCTTTGGCAAGTCCTAAGTGCCTCCATTTCCTTGTTTGTAAAATAGGAATGATAACAGTCCCATTGTGAGGGTAAATAAGATCACGTATGTGAAGCTCTCAGCACAAGCCATGGCGCAAAGTAAGTGCTCAATATGTGGTGGCTCTCATTGTTCTGTGTGGCCACAAAGATGCAGAAGTGGGGCCACAGGTGCTGGTTAAAAGGGTGAATGTTCCCATCTAAAACATGTAAGAGTTTTTCCCTCCCTCCCTCCAATCTTTCTTTCAAAATTTTTTTAATTGTGGTTGGACACAATACCTTTATTTTATTTGTTTATTTTTATGTGGTGCTGAGGAT